GGTTATATATGTGCAATCAAGTAAAACACATCTCAATATTAGTCCTGTTGTGAAAGAAGAAACAGGCCAAAAAGAAAAAAAAACAAAAAAAAAATAAAGGAAGTGAAAATATGCTGTAATCTGCATTCATACTCCATCAGTTATTTTTCTAGAGGTGGATAGCTTTTTTCCTTATGAGTTTTTTGGAATTGTCTTAGATCACTGTATTGCTGAGAAGAGCTAAGTCATTCATATTTGATCATCACACCATGTTGTTGTGTAATTGTGTACACTGTTCTCCTGGTTCTGCTCATTCCACTTTGCACCAGTTCATGTATATCTTTCCAGGTTTTTCTGAAATTTGTCTGCTTATCATTTCATAGCAAAATGGTATTCCATTACATTCATATTACACAACGTGTTGAGCCATTCCCCAAATTGATCAACATTCCTTCAATTTCCAATTCTTTGCCACAACAAAAAGGGCTGCTATGAAATTTTCGTACATCTAGGACATTTCCCCTTTTTTAGATCATCATACAATATTGCTTTTACTTTGTACACTGCTCTCTTCATATTGCTTCACTTCATGGAAATCTTTCCAGATATTTCTGAAAGCATCCTGCTCATCATTTCTTGGAGCAAAATAGTATTCCATCATAACCACATACCACAACTTATTCAGGCATTCTCCAGTTGATGGGCATCCCCTCAATTTCCCATTCTTTGTCACTGCAAAAGGAGCTTCTAGAAATATTTTTGTACATATAGGTCCTTTTCCTTTTTTTATATCTTGGAGATACAGACTTAGTAGTGGTATTGCTAGGTCAAAGGGTATGTGTGGTTTTATAGCCCTTTGGGCATGGTTCCAAATTAGTCTCCAGAATGGCTGGATCAGTTCCCAACTCCATCAACAGTGCTTTTAGTGTGCTTATTTTCCCACATCCACTTAAACATTTGTTATTTTCTTTTCTGTAATATTAGCCGATCTGATAGGTATGAAACAGTACCTCAGAGTTGTTTTAATTTGCATTTCTGTCATCAGTAGTGAGTTAGAGCATTTGTTTATATGAATACAGATAGCTTTGATTTCTTCTTCTGAAAACTGCTTGTTCATATGCCTCTATGATTTATCAACTGGGGAATGACTTGTATTCTTATAAATTTGACTCAGTTCTCTATATATTTGAGAAATGAGGCCTTTATCACAAAAACTTGCTGTAAAATTTTGTTCACAGTTGTGATTACTGTGTGTTTTCCTCCATCCTATTTTCCCCTTTTATCCTTCTCTTTCTCTCCTTTCTTACTGTCCCTCCTTAAAGAAGCTTTCCTTCCAACTGCTGCCTCCCCAACCAGTTTCTCTTCTTTCGCTCTTTCATCACTATTTTTATTTTTATCATTATCTCTTCCTACTTCTCTGTATGGTAAGATAGGTTTCTATATCCAGCTAAGTGTGTATGTTATCCCTCTCAGAACCAATACCAGTGACAGTATGGTTCAAGGGTTGTCCACCACACTCTGCCTCTTTCCCTCCACTGTAAAAGTGCTTTTGGACCTTTTTTATGTGAGATAATTTACCCCATTCTACCTCTCCCTTCCCCCTTCTCCCAGTGCATCCTTCTTTCTCACTCTTTAATTTATTTTTTAGATATCATCCCATCATAGTCACCTCACACCCTTTGCCCTCTGTTTATGTAAATTTCTTCTAACTGCCTTAATAAATTTCCATTCAGCTCTGGTCTTTTCATCAGAAATTCTTGAGAGTTCTGTATTTCATTGAATATTCATCCCGCCCCCCCGCAAAGGATTATACTCAGTTTTGCTGGGTAGGCAATATTTGGTTGTAATTCTGGCTCCTTTGCTCTCTGATCTTTCAATGTAGAAGCTGCTAAATCTTGTGCTATTCTGACTTTGGTTACATTATATTTGAATTATTTCTTTGTGACTGCTTACAATATTTTCTCCGCGACCTTGGAGCTCTGAATTTTGGCTATAATATTCCTGGTAGTTTTCTTTTTGATATCTCTTTTAGGAGATTATTGGTGGATTCTTTCAATTTCTAATTTGCCCACTGGTTCTAGGATATCAGTGTAATTTTCCTTCATAATGTCTTAAAATATGATGTTGAGGCTCTTTTTTGATCATGGCTTTTAGGCACTCCAATAATATCTTAAATGATCTCTCCTTGGTCTATTTTCCAGGTTAGCTTTTTTTTCCCCAATGAGATATTTCATTTTTTCTTCTATTTTCCATTCTTTTGATTTTTTAATTGTTTCTTGATGTCTCTTGGAGTCATTAGCCTCCATTTACTCAATTCTAATTTTTAAGGACTTATTTTCTTTAATGAGTGTTGCACCTCCTTTTCCAAATGGACAATTCTGCTTTTTCAGGAGTCCTTTACTTAAGTAAATTTTTGTACTTCTTTTTCCATTTGGCCAATTCTGCTTTTTAAGGAGTTCTTTTCAGTGGATTTTTTGTACCATTTTTACCATTTGGCCTATTTTATTTTTTAAGGTGTTATTTTCTTTTTTTTTAAGGTATTATTTTCTTCAGTATTGTTTGTGCCTCCTTTATCAAGCTGTTGACTTTTCCCCATGATTTCCCTGTATCACTGTCATTTATTTTCCCAAGTTTTTATTTGCTCCTCTTATTTTATGTTTAAAATCCTTTTTGAGCTCTTCCAGGAATTCTTTTTGGTCCTGAGACCAATTCACGTTCTTTTTTTTTGAAACTTCGCATGTTGTCACTTTGATTTTATTTTCTTCATCTGAGTTGCTGTCACCATAGTAACTTTCTATGGTCAGGTTGTTACTTGCATATTTTTCCAGCTTATTTCTTTACTTTTAACTTTATATTAAAATTGGGTTCTGATACAGGGGTCAGGAGGGAACTATTCCAAGCTTCAGTTTTGTTTTTGCTTTTGTTTTTTTTTTTTTCTGATGCTGTTTTAGGAGCTAGATCTAGGGGTCTAAAAGTTTTCAGTTCTTCCAAGGTGATATGATCTAAGGAGAAGTTTGGTCACTGCTTTTCTAGCCTGTGCTCTGTTCTATGAATGACCACAAGAAATATTTTCCACTCTGGAATTGTGACCAGTTTCCCTGTGGTCACATCCTCTAAGTGTGCTATTGTTCCTCCTTGCTCTGGGACTGCTACTCAGATTTGCATATGGATAATGCTACAGAGTCCTACACCCCAGTGTCAGCAAAGGCTTCCCTGTAGTCTCCATCTCACTAGTTGTCCAACCCCCTTACTGTCTTGGAGCTGAGAGCTCTGGAAGCTGCTGCTGACAATTCAGTCTTCCCTCCAAGGCCTGCAGCTGACTTTCAGGGGGTGTGGCCTGAACTGAACTGCCCTCCTCTCTCACCCAGGTATGACAGACCTTTCCTGCCAACCTTCTCAGTTGTCTTGGGATTCACCCAATTTTTTAGTTGGTTCTTCTGCTCCAGCATTCATTTTGAGATATTTTAAAGTTGTTTGGAGGGGAATTTGGGAGAGCTCAGGTGAGTACCTCTCTTTATTTTACCATCTTAGCTCTACCACATATATATATCTATATATAGATATATATACACATACACATATATGTACACATATATTTTGTTATATTATAAATATTATAACATTGTAATACTTATTATAGTAATAATTATATAATAAATAGAATATTTTAAAGTATGACTCACTTACTTCAGAACAATAGGGTAATTAATAGGTTTGAAAATGAAATTTGAATTGCAACATTACGAACATTCTTTCCAGAGGAGAATTCCAATTAACTGAGCTAAATTGTCACCATAAAAGAAAAATAAAAAGAAATTGTACTGAATATATCTGTGATCTCACTGATTTATATGCTATGGCCACTGTGACTCACTCATAAAAAAGATACAATTTTGGAAACTTATTTGTAGGGAAAATATGAATATATACATACATATGAGTTTGTTTATGTGTGTGTATGTGTGTGTATACACAGACACACATCTATATACTTATGTGTGTCCATGCACACTCACATCTATTGATCCATTGTCTCTCTCTCTCTGTCTATATACATATATATATACATACACCCACACACATTCACACACACCTACCCACACACACACACACACATATATGTATGTCTTTATACATACATTATATATGCATATATATATATGTATGTATGTATAAAGAGAGAGAGAGAGAGAGTTTATAATGTCTGTTAGTCTGTTACCACGGTATCTTCAAAGACTTCTGAATATTCACCCAAAAGAGAGGAAATCCCACCCAGGGTTCAATTTTCTAAGCCTCTGATGCAATTGCTGAAAGAACCAAATTATTTTGGGTGGGGAAGAATTTTAATAGCTTGTTTTTTTTAAGGTCCAGTGTTCATGTAGATATAGTGTACATATTTGAAACTGTATTTGCTGGTAGATATAAACTATGGCCCTTCCAAGTATCACTGATACTTGATTGTTCTGAGTATTGGCTTTCTGACAGGGTTTGGAATGAAGCCATTTTTATTAATTTAGTTATTTTTGCTGATATAAAAGGCCGTCTATCATGTTAATGATGTATCGGTCTGCGGTCCCAACGAACAATAATTACAGAATGTTCTTAATAGTAAATCATTTGTCACCATCACAGCTCACTACAACAACCTTTTGTTGAGGAGTAGAAGACATTATCTGAATAGCAATACACCTTTATGCTCAGCAATTAAAGAGTCCCAATATAGAGAATATTCACACAAATTCATGGTGGATACCATTTCAATTATGAAAATTTTTCACGGTGTGTGTTATGTGCACTCAGAATTTCTGATTTTGCTTTAGCTTTTACCCATCTCAGGTGGATGGAATATCCCAGTTGCTTAAGCAAATCAGTTAAGGAGAAAATGACCAGAAAATGTTGGTTAAAGTACCTTAAAAAAATAACATTTTATTGGCTGCTTCTTCACTTTCTGATTTTGGCAAGGACTGAATTCAGAAAAGTAAAAATGTCTTTTTAAGCCATTAAAAAGGTATTGGCAAACCATAACATTTCAGGACCCAAGAGTCATTAGCATAAAATTTAAAACCCCAGTTAGCACATCTAATGGTAAAGATTCGCAAGTGGGACATTTATTTAGAAGTAACTGGAAATCAGTCATGTGTTACATAAGTGTTACCACAATTTACAAAGGAATATATTTGATTCACAGACATTCCTCATTTGTCTTAGATAGCCTGCCTTAGTCTATCTCCTTTCCAAGAGCACCACTATCATATTTACTATAATTAAGCCACTTAATGCTTCCATAACAGTACTACACAAACTTAATAGATTCAGTATTAACTGTTCAGCTTTTGTGAACAGTAAAAAAAACTGAATTATACACATTGTCTTGTAATGAAAAGAGCATTAGACTTGGGAGTCAGAAGAGCTGGATTCAAGTTCTGACTTCACAACTTACTACCAGTGTTATCTTAGGAAAGCCAGTTAAACTCTGTGAGCCTCAGTTTCTTTCACTTTAAAATGGGGTTGATAATACTTATACTAGCTACCTATCAGGATTACTGCAGAGGAAGTACTTCATAAACCTTAATGTACTAGTTAAGTGTGAATTATTTATTTTATGGTAAAGTGAATGAGGTGAGAACACTTACAGAAACAGATACTAAAATGGTTATGCATTAAAACCAGTGAGTTTAGATCTGTCAATGCCAATTAAGGTGAAAAGCTTAAGTTTATGCTACCAGTACTGGAAGTAATCCTAGACAGTTGTAGAGTGGAAAGGGGTATATGGTGTGAAGTCTTACCTTATACTTTCCACTTTACTTTAATTAATTTTTTTAAGCCACAAATAGGTCTCTGGTATTTATGCTATTGCTCAAAGTATATGTGTTAAGGCAACAATTGGGATTAATTCCAACTTGCTAAACACCTCTTTTCCCCTGTCACCCCCACCCTCAAATAAGGACACAAATTCTAACACTTAGAATAATGTCAAGAATTCATTTTAGTTATGGTAGCCAATAAGTCCGATGGGATCTTCACACTTGTATGTTAAGTGTCAAACATAAAATAGCTGTGAAATAGGCCAATAAAATGCATGTTACTGTAGGTTTTTGAGAGTCACTAGTGAAGGCAATTGGAAAGTCTTCTAAAGAGAACAAAAATTAAAATGGATTGTTAGGGTAACAGCAAGGTGGCACAGAGTACAGGGATGCTCAATGTCAGGAAAACACAAACACCTCCTGTCATGCCTTTTGCAGGCCTGTATGCAGAACCTCCGGTTACACCTCTGATAAGCAGAAGTAAAACACATCAGGATCCTTGATGCAGCACTGCTCTTCCAAAGGGGAGAAAGTCCCTTTAAAAAAAAATTCAAATGGCTTTCTCCACCTCTACCCTCTGTCCCCTACCCCCGTGTTCTGTCCAAAAGAAAAATCCCTCAGCCGCAATGGTTGTTTTTTATTAAATTCTCCTCAATAAAAAGCTCAGGCAGGATTTATTAGGTACTCAGGGTGGACGTTTAGTATTTCGCCAGTTATTAAGTGAAAATCAATAGAAAGCAAAGAAAATGGAAGTCACTGCACTGTTAGCGCACTGTTGTCGCCCAGATATTATGTCGGCTGTCTTGTAGATTCATGACAGACGAAAGAGGCCGGGAGAGAACTTTCTGCTTACATTGCAGGAGCCAAAGTGGGGTTATTCATTAGAGCAGGCAGCTGGCCAGATGGATTTCCAGTTCAGTTTTACCATTTATCTTTAAAACGCCTGTATCGAGTGAGAAAGAACACTGATATTATGTGATATCAATGGCAGGTTTATGTATCTAAATCAGGATTTATTGTTATTTTGTTCCGAAGACCTTTTTTTCTCAAGAAATACCATTTCACTGGAAGAAAATAATAGCTAAAACCTTGTCAAAGATAACCTTTCATGTTGTTCGTACACCACTGGCTGTAAAACAAATAGGACCCAGTGTATAAATAGTTTTAACCACATCCTTACAAATCATTTCTTCTGAGTCTGTTCCCCTGTTTGAAATTTTTTTAGTGTTCTAAACATGATTTTTGGTCATTAGTTGTTTTTTTTCTACCAGTAATTTAGCTATAAATAAAGTCAGCATTTCTTTTAATTGCAACTAAAAGCTTTAGCAGTTTGATGTCTTGCTTTGGAACACTATAACTATGTTTGAAAAAGCTATCTAAAAGCTAAGATTTTTTTGTCCATCCTCCATGCTGCCAACTCAGAAGAGACTTTAGAATCAAAGAGAATAAGCATTATTTCAACTTGCTTCTAAAAAGGCTTTACAGAAAGCAAAGTCATGACTTCTTGATTTGGCCATCAAATAGACTTTTTCAACTGTCTCCAATGAAATAGAAGCTCTTACAGGGCAGCTTTTGTTTCATTTTTGCCAGTGTATCACCAGTACTTAGCACAGTGCTTTGTTATAAGGTGCTTTAAAACCTTTTGCCTAATTGAATTGAATTATCTGTTTTTCAACCAGTTGGACAATGGGTTTCTTAAGATGGGCCAATTAGCCATAGAGCCAAGTTAGTGAGGTGACTAAGATTTTCAAATCCCCCAAATGGATGAAATGTGTTTCTGTAACCTACTACCAAGAATGCTATTAATTCAAGCAAACCTGGATTCTTTTTTCTTCCTATTTATTATGTCCTTATGTTTATAAGTTTGTTTCAGAAGACATTTGAGATCTATTTCTGAAAATGTTTTGGTAATTATGTGAAATTCTCTTTAAATTATTTGATAGCACAGAGGTTTCTTCAGATATCTAGCATTAGTGACTTGCTTTTTAATTTATGAGAGAATAGAAGATAAACTCAGTTTAACATTCATAATTGCTCAACAAAACCCAGACTTTCCATGTTGGTCCAATAGTATAAACCTACTGTATAAGAATTTCTAGACTTCATATAAAGAAATAATTCAGAGTTGATTTACTGAATTATTTCTTGTAATTGTCATGTGGGTAGGGTGTTGGAGTAGTGACAGTAGGGTGTTGGAGTAGTGACAATGTCACATTAAATAGAATGAGAAAAATTCAAGTTGAGGAGATTTAATGAAATAACATTACTAATAAAAACATGTACATATCCCAGAGGTTACAAATTCTAAAAATTTCAAAAATGAGAAATCCTATGATTTTAACCAGCATCTCAAGTCTTATTTGTAAAATGTCTTAGAATTCCTAGTCTATAAGAGAGAGTTTGAAGGGCAGTCAGTAAGTCAACATTTTTTAAGCTCCTACTAGGTGCCAGGCATTGTGCTAAGCCCTGGGCATACAAGTGCCAAAAAGAAAATCCCTGCTCTCAAAGAATTTACAATCTAATGAGGGAGCATAACACACAAAAGGAAGCTGAAAAGGGGAGAGAGGAAAAGAAGGAACATACCCAATAGAGGGGCATAATGGAGAAGTCCAAAAGAGTACAACTGGGTAGGAAATAAAGAGAAGACTGGCCTGGGTGCCCTCCTTAAATGGGAGTTCTGAGAGAACTCTGCTCTACCTAACAATCAGAGGAGCCTCAAGATTAGAGAACATTGATGAAGTGTGAGTTCCAGGGCTCATATCATTTTTCAGGATGAAGAAGTTCCCAGGTGGGACATGATGGAGAAGTCCAAGAGTACAACTGGGTGAGAAGTGTGACTTAAGGTAGTCAAGGTAGAAGGGAAGTCTGATGAAGGATTTAATTGATATTTAATACATTTTGTCCTTTTATTTTTTTCCTCTTTTCCTTAGGAATCTTTTTCTATAGAGATCTGAGTGTATTTACTATAATCAAAAGCCTGGATTGTATCCTGAGTGCTTAGCATATAGTAAACTTTTAATAATTTCTTGTGTGTTGTTATTTTAAGAAGCTTATGTGGTATAGAACTATTGAAATAGTTGGATTTTTAAACTGATAAATGTTGATTAGGCAGCTAGATGGAGTAGTGAATAGAGCACTGAACATGAAATCAGGCAATTTTGAGTTCAAATCCTTCCCCAAATATCTAGTAAATGTATGATTCTGGGCAAGTTACATGACTTATGCCTGCCTCAGTTTCCTCATATATACAACCTGCCTTTTCAGGGTTGTTGTGAGAATCAAATGAGATAATATTTGCATGCTCTTTGTGAATCTTCAAACACTCCATAAATGCTAGTTATTATTATTACTTACTAATATTGCTCTTTTTTTCCTATGAGCTTGTCTCAATTTCCTGTCTTGAAGTACACCACTAGTTTGTGGAAGAAATCCTAACTGTATCCAGGATGACAGAAATAATCCCCAAATAAAAGCTTGGAAGAGGCTCTTTCATTTCTGTGTCCCTTCAGAAGATCTGTTAACACTATTTAGAGCATATTAAGATAAAGTTTCATATGTTGATCTGACCAACAATGCAATTGGTTTCACTTTGATGAGTCTAGTTATGCTTCGTGGGAAAACGTCCACTTGCCAGTGATGTTTGACTATGCTAATACTACTGGAAAGATGAAGTATGGCATAATGGATGTGCCAGCCTCAAGATAGATAAGATTTGGGTTCAAGGTCAGCTTATGACACATCCCAGGCCGTGTGGCAGTGGCTTAACCTTTCAGGGCCCCAGGGAATTATCCAAGACTATGTTATGCAGCAGCTGTTGATCTGCATTGGCGGAGGGTATATCCTTGCTGAGAATTCCCTACACAAATGAAATCACAGGTGCAATCCAAAAACAAAGGGAAAAAAAATTACTGAGATGTAGAAAAAGCATTCCGTTAAATTCCAATTATAGTGGGCCTTCCACTTAGCCAAAATTTCATAGTGAAATCATTCTGTTTTTAAAAGCACCTCTCAACAATAGGATGGTTTTGGTTTCCTTAATGATGCATGAGAGTCCCCACAAAATTGATTTAGCAAGAGCAGTGGTTAGGGGTATTCATAGCCAAGCTAACAAAAACAACCAGATCAGCTAGATTTCAGTCTGCATTGGTGGCTCTGCAGAGACACCATAGTTTCAATCTGTTCATAAAAAAAAAAAAAAAGCCTAGTCATTTAATCCATCGTGTATTAACAGTGTTTCATTGGGCTAGGTCTAGGAAATAACTTCTCATCTAGCTCCTTAGTCTAATGAAGGAAGACAATAATCCACAAAATTCAAACTAATAACAAAAGAAAACCATCTTGAATCTTATTTATTCACATTGCCTTTCTTCATTGATGATATCAACTATGTAACTGAACAATCTGTCTGTCTCTGTCACTCTGTCTCTCTGTTTCTTTCTCTTTTGTACCTTTCCTCTGTGCCTCCCTTTCACAGCTATTAAGTACTGAGTATGGTGCTTGCAGTCAAGTTACCAAGAGGTCAAATGTGTTCTATCACATAAATATATCTATATATATCTATATATATACATATATATACACACATGCATATACACACATGTATATATGTGTATGTATGTGCTATATGTATATATGCATATATATTTTAAATATAAATGCTATCACCTCTTCCTCAATAGATTGTAATAATTTTAAGAATACCTATAAACAAGAATGTCCTAGAGTCCAGAGGAGGGAATCCAGCTTTGTAATGTCCTCCATTTACTCCCATATGAGCATAGTTGAAAGAACTGCAAATGTTTCATCCAGAGAAGACTTAGTGGGTATCCGATAGCTGTCTTCAAATATTTGAAGAGCTGTTACCTAGAAGAAGGATAGGCTCTTATATTTGTTCTTTTTTGGTCTAGGAGGGGGAAGAAACAAGAGTAATGGGTGGGATTTGAAAGGAGGAAAAATTGAGCATGATTTATGAAAACTTTCTTAACAAGTACAGCCATTCAAAAGTAGAATGGATTGTATGCATTCTCCTTCACTGGAGGTCTTTAAGCAGGGGCTAAATGACCACTTGTCAGACATGGATTGGGCTAAATGACCACTGAGGAACCTCCTAGTTCTTTTCCTTTCTCTAGTTACCATGATTTTTCTACTTTATCACTCTCCCTTTCTATTTATTTACTCCCTGCCCTCAATGGTGTTTTTCAGATAAAATGGTATGGCAAAAACGTGCCATCAAAATATAAACTTGTGGTATAATCTGAATGCTTTAAAAATGCATTGATATGACAGAATAGGGACTATGGCTAATTTGAATATTTCTTATTAGAGGGATGGGGTAACAGAGCACAGGCAACATAATAGGAATTACACACACAATTAGTCAATAAACATTTATTAGACATCTACTATGTGCCAGGCATACGCACTTATATATTCACACATTAGTTCAAATAATCAAGGATGTTTTGGAATCTATTTGAAGTTTTTGTTTTATAACACTAAAAAGGTTGTGTTTTTATTTTAAACTTAAAAGATCAGCTGACTTATTTTCTTTTAAAAAGTAAATTTTACTTATAGCTTTTTCTTTTTTTTAATTATGCTCATTTCAAGTCTATCCTAAAATTGAAATCTCCCTTTGGAACAAAAAAAGGAGTTAATCAAAAACAACCAACCCACGACTGTATCAGACCAGGTATTACACCGTCCTCCTCTGGTTGTCTCCTGCTCCTCTGATAAGAGAAGGGAGGTTTGTTCCATTCATTATCGATTTTCTACTACATAACTTCAACTTCCTTTTAATGTTTGTTTTTAATTTCATTATAATTTTCACTGTTGATATTTTTTTCCTTTTGGTTCTCCTCACTTTACTCTGCAAAAGTTCATAAAATCCCTTGTTCCTCTGAATTCCTCATATTCATCATTTCTTAGTGCACATTAATACTCCATCTGTATACCACAGTTTGTTTATCCATACCCTCGGTAATAATAATGGTATAACAATAGCTAGCATTATACAGTGACTTGAGGTTAACAAAGTTTTGTGGTTGTTGTTTAGTCATGTCTGACTTTTCATGACCCACAGGACCATAGCAGGTCAGGCCCTTCTGTCCTCCACTATTTCAGTAAGTCTGTCCAAGCTCATGTTTGTTGCTTCCATGACACTATCTATCCATTTCATTCTCTGCTCTCCCCTTCTCGTTTTGCCTTTAATCTTTCCAATATTAGGGACTTTCCCATTGAACCCTGTCTTCTCATTATGTGGCCATAGTATTTAAACTTCAGTTTTGGTATTTGACCTTCCAATGAATAATCTGAATTAATTTCTTTATATATTTACTGATTTGATCTCCCTGCTATCTAAGGAACTCTCAAAAGTCTTCTCCAGTACCACACTTCAAAAGCACTGATTCTAATGGAATACTATTGGGCTATGGGAAGTGATGAGCAGGCAGACTTCAGAGGAACCTGGAGGAACTTGTATGGACTGATGATGAGTGAAGTGAGCAGAACAAGGAGAACATCATACACAGTAACAGTCATGTTGTGCAATGACTAACTTTGATAGACTTAGCTCTTCTCAGCAATGCAAGGATCTAAGACAACTCCAGAAGTCTCATGATAGAAAATGCTCTCTGCATACAGAGAAAGAACTATCGAGTTTGAATGCAGATTGAAGCATACTATTTGCTCCTTTGCTTTCTTCTGTTTTATTTTGTTTCTTCTTTCTTGTGGTTCCTCCTATTGGTTCTAATTCTTCTTTGCAACATGACTAATGTGAAAATCTCTTCAATAGGAATGTATATGTGTAGGCTATATCAGATTGCATGCTGTCTTAGGGGAGGGAAGAGAGGAGGGAGGGGGAGAAAATTTAAAACTCAAAAGCTTATGGAAGTGAATGTTGAAAACAAAAAATAAATTAACCAAAAAAAAAAAACTAAAAAAAAGCATTGCTTCTGCAGTGCTCACTTTTCTTTATAGTGCAACTCTCATGGCCATTTGTTGCTACTGGAAAAACCATAGCTTTGACTTTATCCTCACCATAACCCTGGGAGGGAGATGCTATTTTTCTTCCCATTTTGCAGATGAGGAAACTGAGGCTAATAGAGGTAAAGTGAATTGCCCCAAGTCACACAACTAGTAAGTATCTGAGGCCAAATTTGAACTCAGGTATTCCAAACTCTATGTCCAATATTCCATTTGCTGTGCCACCTAGATACTTGATGGGCACCCACAGCACTTAGCACAGTGCCTGGCACTTAATAAAGCCTTAATTTTATTGATTGTTACCATAAAAATATGTATTGGTCCTTTCTCTTTTTTTTATTTCATTTGGGTATAAACCCAGAAAGAGTCAAAGGGTCAAAGATTATGACCAGTTTAGTCATTTTTCTTCAGACAATTTTCAAAGTACCCTTTCATGCCTGCTTTTTGGAAACACGCATGGCTCCTTGCACAATTCTTTTATGTGTTTTCTCTCACACACATACACTCTCATTCACCCCATCCCTACTGGAAACCTCAACTATCTTCCCTTGCCATTACAAGTGATGGGACTGAATTCTGTAATACACCAAGACTAGAGTGGTGAGAGATGTGCCTCCTGAGCCTGACTTCACAAATGCTTCCTTTCATCTTATATTTAAGCATCCCTTGACTCCCTTTCTCACTCAACTTGAAAAGAGAACTGGTCTTGGACCAGACAAATCTATTGCAATATGCTGACAGCCTGTTGCTGTTGACCAGAGTTCTCCAAGTCAACCAGAGTAGATAAAAGATGGCACTCATCCAACTGAAGAACAATATGTACAAGTTTCCTCCCCCTATCCATTTATTACTGCCCTCCCCTCCCCGCCCCAACACTGTCCACTTTAACTCAGCAGTTCTCTTACTGAGAGCATTAAAAAAACACTAACACCTGATTTGATTAGATCAAGTCTCTTATTTTGGGCAACAATTGTTAATAAAATCACACTTCCTAAAAAAAAAAAAAGAATGGAATGTAAATGCTGCACTAATTTAATTACACTGTGGCACTGTAAGACACTAATGTAAATATTCTGGTGAGTAGGCCTAAGACACTTGAAGTAATTACTTAAGGGCTCCCTTTCAAAGAATCTCCCCCCTTTTTATTAAATGCCTTTTAACATTAGCACTTTCTTCCTGACAAATTAAATGAAATTTCATTACTCTCCCTGACTTAATGGCATGAGATTGCCTGCTGTGAGTGCGAGTTAACCCTCTCCGGACAGATAGCATGCTAGGACTTTGCATTAAGTCCAAATGTCACTCAGCTAAATGACTAGAGAAAAGCAAAGTCCTCTAAGATTCCTTCATTACTTTCCTGCTCTGCCTTAGCAGCTGCTGCCAGCATCACAACAGCATTATGCAAAGCTCCAAAGTTTAGATCTTCCTGTGATAGTTGTTGAGAGGGAAAAAAAGGCTAAGGACTTACCTTGTCTAGTTGCTTATCTAATCATTCTTAAGAATTCCAGGTATCAACACAGGGTTTTGCAAAATTAAATTTTCTAAAAATGAGCAACAGATGTCTCGAGTCATGTTGTCATGGGAATTGAAAGCAAAATAAAAAGACAACAGGTGGGGTGGGTGGGCTGGCACCATTTGGCTTTCTAAATACTTATTGGCTCTTGTATCAATTCTCTAGAATGAATTGATGACATTCTCTCAAATGATAAGCTGACTAGTATCTTTTTCTATGCAGGCTTGTCTAAAGGCAAGGATTTCTGCATGTTAAATTTATTTCAGCACTTGAGAGAGAATCAGTTGTCTCCAAATAACTTTTTTCCTTAAAAATTCTTCCACATTTTATAAAGAACCTTGTTCTTGGGAAAGATGCCGGGTTGAGAGCCCTGGAATAAGAATAACATGAACAGCAGAAAGTGAATTTCTCTGACTCTGCATCAGTGATGTTCTTGATTTAGCTTCATTGTGTCCTATAGATACTTCTCAGCAGGATGCAATTTTTATCAGGGATCCCACCTCAAAACAGATTTACAGTCTGCCTTCACCTCGCCAATGCTAGGTTTTATTTCAAATATCACTGAAGACCACCTGTCGTCCTTTGTTTATACAGAAGTTTTCCCCTCCTCCTTTTTATTGCCTGCCCACTGTTTAACATTATCCATTCTTTTACACATTCCCCTTCTTTTTCATTGTTTGGAGCTTGCTGATATGAGATCAGAGAACTTTTCCCCCTTTGTCTAGTCAGTTTTTGCTTTTTTTTTCACTTTCTCTTCTCCCCAACAAAGGATGCTAACAAATACAGCCAACATAATATGATTTCCTTTTAGCTTTTTGCTCTCTGACACAATGTTCTTTTAGTTCCCAAAAAGCTATTTTTCCTTCTAAGATTTTGCCCCATTTACTTCTGTGTCATCAGTGACATGGGACTTTCTGATACCACATTTCCATCTTACCAAGGGGATGTCCTTTCTAAGACCCCAAGCCATATGAAAGAAAAATAAGCAACTCAAAAGTTCAAAAGAAACATACCGGGTTACAGATTTTTTCCCTTTTGGTTATTGTCAAGTATATGTCATTTTAGGAATAAATATGTCAGTGTTTTGAAAAAGGCAAAGACTTACATTTATTTTGGTACAGCTATCAGATTTTAAGAAGCTGGGTCATTTGTTCTCCTCTTGTGAGGTCCAGGTAAAAGTTCACTCTTTCCATGGCTGGTTGCTTCTGACAAACAAAATTCAAGGGCCCCAAATAAGTATTTTATCTAAAAAATGTGAATCATCCCAAAACAAACATTTAAAAGGCACAACTGCCAGATTCCACAAGTAAAAGAGTTTGAGGTTGAGACAGCTCAGATCTCCCTGGGGAATAATGGGTAAAGTTTGGCCAGCTGCCCCTTAAGGTCTTCAGGGACCCTCAATCCAATTGTACTGACTTAGCGGATGTGAATTTCAAGGTTACACCTGGGTGTTCAAGGGCAGGGCCAAGTGTAATCGGCACTTAGATCATAGATTAATCTTATTTGCCATCTATTAGGTTTGATTCCTGCTTTCCTCTCTCTCTCCCTAAAGCCAGGATTATTGTGATAGTTTAAGATAATGGATTCTAAAGGAAGAAAGGTCAGGCAGGCGTGGAGATTTGGTACCTTAAGATAATATGATTAATCTAAAAGCTTCTTTCTAAAAGGGGAGGGCCACACTTTCCTATGTCTAATTGAGAGAAGGAAATACAGAGAAAGACTTAGAATTAGCAAAAGGAAAAGTGAGTGTGTGGGTGCCTAGTCCTTGTCAACAACTTTAATTCATTATCATTGTCAGGATGATCTTTCATTAGTTTTCAAGATAATATAATGGATTACCTCCAGTCCTAAAAGTGATAATACCTTATTGGCCTTCTAAAGAATAATCTTTCACTAACAGATATTCATTACAAAGTTTTATGCTTTACGTTGTCAAATGATTTGTAATATAGCCATGCATAACCACATTCATATACTTGTTATAGATAATAGATGTATATATGTAGTATACATGTGTATATGTGTGTACACACACACACATATATATATATTCACTCACATGGGTATTTATATTTTGGTAAATGCTCTGTAACCTTTAAGATTAAAATTCAGAGCTAGTGAAAAATGTAAATCTCATCATCAGATTACAGTAGTTCATTTGCAGATGTGGATGATTTAGACATTACTTAATACTTATTTAATTCGATTCAAAAAGCACTTAATAGGCACCTACTATATGTAAAGCCCTTCAATAAGCACTGAGGATACAAAGATAAAATTGAAAAACAGAGCAATGTTATTTGATAGTTATCATGTACCACCAATGGTTTAGGATGATTAGAAAAGATAAAATTAGACTTAGTCCCCTAGCAAGGAGGTTATAACTTATATAGAAATGTGTTTCACTATTACTTTATTTCTCTTTCCTGTTGTAGAGTCACTTAGCTCGCTAAGTGAGTACATTTGGCAGTTCTATTTCACAATTTATAGTACTGCCTATATTCTTGCATTGTTTACACTCTAATTCATTGCTACTTTTTAAGGTTAATTGCACTTTATGGGAATGTTAACATATTTGCCACACTATTTATATTGATATTTTTTAAACTATGAAACTATTTTCATCACTCAGTATACATTATTAATTCCTTCTGCTGAAACACAAATTATATTCTTCACTACCATTTACTTCTCCTTTAATTCCAATGATACAGGACAAGGACTGTTCTCTCTTGTGTACCATTCTCTTTCCATATGGGTCAGATCTGTGGCCTTAAGAACAACTTGAGATTTTTAGTTTGTAATTTCATTAATAGTTTCTTTCTCTTAACAAATGGAACTCCCTTGGCTTACTTACAAGAATGGGAACACAGATGTATTTTTTCTTGATTGTGATGACAGAACAGGACAGGAGATTATTCCTAGACATTCAGGAACCACAGCAAGTGTTACTACTGTGTCTGAGGAGTAATATAATTAGAATTTGAGATAGGACTGTTTAATACAACCTGTAATAGTATGTGCCCATCATCATTCCGGGCTATTCTCAGAACTTTGAGCAGTTATAAAACGGTACAAAATCATTAATACTGAATCAGAATCATGTGGTCTGTCTTAGAAACTAACTTCAAGTTTGCTGGAGTTACATGTGCTCAAATTGTTACAAACACAAGCATTAAAAGAAAAACCACAAAGCTACAGCAATGATGCTTGTAAAGATTTCATAAAAGTAAGGCACCTTGGCTTCTTGAAACTGCTCTGTCCCTGTGCTCCTCCACATACCCTCCCCAAGTTGTTTCTATCAAGAAATGTTTCAACTTACTGGCTTAACAACTAGAAATTTAAATATTCAGTTACTTAGCCATTCCATCATCATCATCATCATCATCATCCTCCTCCTCCTCATCATCACTTTTATTTATATAGCACTTATATAATGTGTTTTACAACCCACTCAAAATAAAAATATTTACCTATACCTGGAATCTTATTGGAAAAAAAGGTGGTTTTTTTGCCTTTCCTGATAGACTGTATTTTGAAAAATTGGTAGTAAAACAAACATTTTAGAAAACAACTTGTCAAGATATGCAGATTCAAATGGCGCCAGTTTTGAGAGTTGCCCTCAAATGATCAAATATAAATGTTATGAAATTATGTGCAAAATACATTTCTGTCGATTTCTGGGTATTTTTTTTAGTTTCAATGTGTGAAGTCTTGTGAGAGATAGATTCAAGTTTCACTATGTATCCAGGTTCTTTTTCAAAATAACCACAAAAAAGCTCCTATTTTAAAAGTAGTACCTCTGACAATAGAAAATCCTAAGGACTCTTATTTTACTCACGACTCTATATTTTGCAGTAGTTTTACCTTTCCATTCTCAGATTTGAGTTTCTGTTTTTTCTCCTTCCTCAGAATTAGTTGTTGGCATTCTCCAGTCTCCTTAGATCAAAGCTCTGTTTAATATATGGTGTGTTTATTCATCCCAGTCACAGGGCATATCATTCTCAAATGACTGACAAGAGCTCTGAAATGAAGAGAGCCCAAAGTGTGCTCTAATAGTTATGGGAAGCATTTCTAGTCAAACATTAAGCAAATTAATGTGAGCCCCTACCGCACCTTTAATCTGGAAATGTCATAAAGTAATAAGCAGAGTGACCCTGGCAATGTCTAGGGTTGGATTTCAATAGATTTATATCTTAAAGGTACACTACCCCTTTCCAAATGTCCCTCCTCCTCCTCCAAGTTTCTGTAACTGTGTCCCACTTTAGCTATTATTTGATCATTCCTTAATATTGCCTGATAGCACTCATTGATAATTTGACTCAGTCACTATGTGACTCTCCATTCCAATGCATATAATGAAATTCTGATTATTAAAATATTAAGGAATGATTATATAATTACATGTAATTTATTTCCACTTTTTCTTTTGGGGGTGGGGAATGTCAGGGGAGAGACAAAATGGCTTAATTCAAATTAAGTGTTAATTTTTGCATTTCTTTTACATTATCATTAAAACTATGTCATAGGGAGATGGAGTAGAGAAAGTACTCATATGAGCTCTCCCAAAATTCCTTTCCAAATAACTTTAAAATAATGCCTCAAATCAAATTCTGGAGTGGCAAAGCCAAAAAAAAAAAAAGTCAGAGACATTCTTCTAGCCCAAGACAAATTAGGAGGTAGGAAGAAAGAAAGATCTGTGACACAGGGGTGGAAGCTGGTCTGGAGCTCACATAGATGAAACAACAGTGGTGAGACTAGGTGGTGCTGACAGAATCAGTAGCACCTTTGGGAACTCTAAAGACAGAGACCTATAAGGAGTCTGGCAACTGGCTAGAAAAACATTACAGGGGACCCCTTTGCTAGCACTGGAAATAAGACCAGATACTGTTTGGCAAACCCATTGCTTGTTCCCACATATGGGCCACAGTTCAAGGGTGAAGAGGAACACTTCTGGTCAAGAGGGAGTAGGATACCTACAAAGCAGTATCATTTTCAGTCACAAGGGATCAGGGACCATAAGGAACATTATCACTTCTGGTCCAAAGGGAGTAAGGATCCTGAGGAGAAGAATTGATTACAAGGGATTAAATTTTTAAAAAAGAAAGAAATTTCCTCAATCACTCAAATTACTGTCTTTTAACTTTATAAATGTTTTGTATTGGTAAAAAAAAAGTTAGCTATATCAATAAGAAAAGGAAAAAAAATTGAAAGAATAAAAATTAGCATATAGGAAACAAAACTATTACTGTTTGCAGATGATGAGACGATGGTATACTTAGAAAACCCTAGAGAATTAAGTAAAAAACTAGCTGAAACAATGGACAACTTTATTAAAGTTACAGGAAATAAAATAAACCCCCATCAATTCCTAGCATATCCATATACTACCAACAAAATACAACAATAAGGGCTTAGATTCTTATAATCTAGCCACTGCTCAGATTCCTAAAATCTAGCCACTGCTTAGATTCTCATAATCTAGCTACTGCTTACTCATGTTTAGACTCTTTAAGAGTCTGCCCAATATGACAGGTGTTCTAATAAACCTTGTCTTTGGCTGAAGGAAGGCTTGGGTCGAATTCTTTCGGGCAGGACCCGCGTGTTGTGATTTTGGGGTCCCAGCACCCCTGAACCCTTAAACCGCATCATTTCGGTGACCTGTACAGGGAAACTGCCTAACCCCAAGTTCTTCTGCAGCCAAGACTGGAAGGTATGTAAGTCTCCTCTCCCTCCCTTTCTTGCTCTGCAGTTGGGGTCACTCTCCAAGCACCAAGGCTTGGAGGTACTTTTCAGGCAGACAGTTACGAGGCTGTCTAGCACTGGGCCTGCCACTCTCAGGCTCTCGGTCCACTGGGTCGGTTCAAGGCCATGGACCTGGGTACACCTTCCGCAGCATAGAGGACAAGGAGGACAGATGCCCTATCCAGAAGTGTATCAGTTAATTCCCTCAGCACTAGGGAATTGGGAAAAACTGCAGTTGCTTTTTGGTTGCCTGAGGCTTACTTACTCCCTTCCCTCTGCACCTCTGAATCCTCCTTCATGGAGGTTACAGGTAAAGTTAGAACACCTGAAAATATCTTGGCAGATTCTGGAGGTTTTGTGATGGATCATTAAGGTCACTCTTTTCTCCCACTCCCTTCGTTTGAGTCGAGGGTATCTGTTAACCCTTCTCATAGAAGAGAGTTTC